CGTCTGCGGTGAAAACAAAGATATCAAGGTTTCTAATTTGGCGACAACATTGAAAATTTCCTTACGTAGTAGATGGATACAGAAAAAAAGCCAAACCGATCAAAGGAATATCTTTTTTTTTTTCGAAATGTCTTTCTGCGCCAACTATTTCCAATGTAACATTTAGCAATTGATTTAATAACTAAAAAAGAAAAACAATAGCTTAACGTAACAGTTAGATTGCAGTGAATTTAACAAATATATATTCTTAAGTTCGTTCAATATATGTGGAGTCATTTCGGCTTTTTTACTTTATGTAGTAGGTCCACAGCTAAAATAGTAAGGTATGGTATGGAGGTATGAATTGAGAACACCTCTGACCTCTGGGTTTTGTGTGTCAGTATTCGCACACACCAACGAAACCACGAAAAAGACTTGGACGTTTATCTTACGAAAACTCAAAAAAAACTAACCGCGCCCACTGAATATAGAGAGTATCGGACTTTAGTTATTTTTTTAGAATAAACATGATGAGGATAAACGATTCGATTCACGGATAAATTTGATTTTCTTGTTTGTACATAAGGCATAGTCACTCGACAGACTCATAGCAATCGATAAAAATTTAAAAAAGTTGGGGGAAATAAATTTGTTTGAAAAGCAAACACAGTTGAACGCATTGAACGCATCAAAGCATTTTCTCCCGCACAAAGTCAAGCTGACGCAAAAAAGATCAAATAGACAGCAACTTGCGTAATGGTATTAATGCGAAGCATATATTAACTTTTGTATGACAATATGGCAAAGGAAATATGCTATGAGCTATGAAGATTTATTTCTTGTGTATATATCGACGCCGATGAAAGTTAAGAATAAACCACTTTTTCGGACAATGGAAGTTTAGTGTAAAATAAGTGAAAACATCATAGTGGGATGCAGTTTGTCACTAAATACCTTACACGACGTCCTGTTGTTCATATAACAATTTTTCGAAATAAAACTTTATATGGGGGAGTGGTTGAGAAAGTGATCCAATGCGAACCATTTCCAATAACGTTTGTCTTTTCACCAAAATATGTCGTTGCATTAAATTTTATAAAAATATTTCAAAAACGGCGACCCATAAGGTAAACGAAAGAAAACAATATAGACGGAAAGACGGACAAACCGGACAGAAAAGTGCGTTTATGTATAGGTTCTGTGCATACGTTTTACATATTTCTTTGATAAAACAAGAAATCACCGTGCGAGTCCGTGGCAAACAATAGTAAAAAAAATTGGAGAAATAGGGTCGTTTAAGGTCTAACACCACTGCAATAGGGACACATGCTGAAAACATCTATTAATGCGTTACACAAGTTAAAAATCGTCAAATACCACCGCTTAAAACTACCCAGATAATCTTACGCTTAGTTACTGGACTCTTGAGTCGGAAATTTCCAGAAAAAATTTGCTTTCAACAAATGGATCTTTTGGTAGGTGTTCCAAAAAGTCTAAAGCGAAAAAATTTATAATTTTATTACCCTTTAATACCAATTCGCAACTATCTTTTAAATAATACTTTACTCTAAAGAGTAAATGAAAGGAATAAATTCTCTCTATTATATTGTTCACCTATAGGGGTACGAATCTTAAATCCGTTTGGTTTCGAAAATCAGTAAAGAATTAAAAAACTCTTCGAATTTTTGAACAAGTCGTTTAACTGGAATAAAAAATAAAAAATATTTTTTTATTTCCGAAGCTTGAGTGGCCGAGCAGGGAAACGATTACGGGAACTCAGTTGTCGTGGGCTCAAATCTCATATGTAATACAATTTTTCAATAAATGTGAGAGCCTTAGAGAGCTCTGGCGCTTGTAAGACTTAGTTTTAGAATTTCTTTCTTCGACGAAATTAATGATAAATGTTTATATTCAATTAGTTGTGCGTGAGTGTGTATGTGTGTATTTGTCTTACCTTTCTGTACAAATTTAATATTGAGCATTGCATAATGTTTTTATAAAGTTGTCAATTTTTATATTTGAGGAAATTCTAAATTTCATATAAAAACGTACGTTTTGCAATATATTTTTTTTTTTTTTTTACATAGAGGACAATATCGATATTAGACCGTAAATATGTTAAAGAATGGTTTTTTTTTTTGATTTTTTTTCGTTAAAACAACAATATAAAGGACATTTGAAGGTTTTTTGTAATATTCTTGATATCATAATTATACGAGTTTGATGGAATACACCGATTTTAATTTAAATATTATATAAATAGTGACATTAAATGTAAGAATTGAGTCTCTACACGAGCACTTAATTTAATTGAGTTGATTTATATAGCAATTAATTGCTTTTAATATTTATAAATCATTAAACGATGCTTAAGTATATTATTGACGATGAAATGTAACGAAGACAGAGTTGAGAGTAATAAGTATTGATTTTTTTGCAGAGAGAGATAGAGAGAGAAAGAGAGATAGAAAGAAAGATATATATATATATATGTATGTATATGGAGGTGAAAAGTATCATTTGATATTTATGGAATTTCATAAATATTTCAGTTATTTTAACTATTAATGCGAAGAATTGGCTTTCGGTGTTTTATGATGTAATTGAAATCTGTTTAAATTCAATAGTCCAATTATACATATATATATTTGTGTATATATCAATATATGTATATATTTAACCCATTTAAAGATATTTCTTTAAAATTAAAAATGTTTATATAAAACTTATTATTATTATTATATTATTGTACAATAAATGTATTGTTTACTTATATATATATATATATATATATATATATTCTTCATTATTATTAGTTGAAATTTTATTTTATTTTTTATTTTTATTTTTTTTGCTTTAATTAACAAGTGGTTGAATTTTTTTTTTTTTTCGCATTAAATATTGCTTGGAAATTGAAAGTATATGTTTGGCCTTGTCTTTTGTCTCTTCCCTCTCTCTTTCTTCGTAATGTGCATCATACGTTCTTAATTGATATAAAACAGTCTTTACTGTTTATTGTGGAAGTTTATTTTATATAAATATTTGAAATTTTCCGAAAGTCTTTTAATTCGCTATTTTACACATTTTTTTTTTTTTCGTTTACTTTTAAAACTGAAATTTCTGGCAACATGTGCACACATCATGTTTTTCTTTTGCATCTTTACATTCAAGTGAACGAAGGACGTCCGCATGTTTCTTGAGATAAGGTTACCGTTGGTCAATTTAGAAGATCATTAATACAGTTCTGAAAGTTTACAGAAAAGTTTTTCTTTTTACGGGTTATTGTTTTTATTCCTTTCATTTTTTAATAATTTATTTGAAATATTTTTTTTTTTTTTTTTTTGCATATTATATAAACGTCGCAGTTTCAGTTCAGATGGTTTTTCTTAGACTTTCTAAGCAATTTTCTTAATTTCACATTTTTTTTTGTTTTACGAATTAATTTGAAACTTTAATATAAATATTTATTTAATTATTTTTTTTTTTTTAATTTTATGTTAAACTCATATATGATTGATCTTTCTTTTTTTAAAACGTATTTTTTTTTTTTTTTTTTTATAATATGTCCTGCTGTAACACTGATTATTGAAATATTTATTATTCGGGAAAATTTTTAAAATATTTAAAAAATTTTATTAAAATTTTGTATTTCAAGTGTTCAATTAAGGATTTTGTGAATCTGCACTACATTGTCATGTATGTATAACGTTACCCTCACATATGTTAGGTGCGCAATTAAACTCTCGGATTTTCTATCAATGAAAACTCGAAAACTACAAGAAAAATAAAAAAAAATTATTATCCTCTAATGGTAGCTACATCTCCCATCATTCAGACAGAATAAGACTTCCGTGCGGAAACTAGCCCTGGTGTTTTAAGTCTGTGCAGTTTCTCGCTCTCGACATAAAACTGGAGCAGTTGCTCGAACATAAAATTGCAATAATCAGTCATCGATTGTAGCTAGTGTTAATTAAGATAAGCAATGTCTGCTGATAACAGCGGATGAGATAGCATATTACAGATTATGGCTGCTAATATTTCTAATATGAGGACAAATATCTTCTTGCTGAAAAATTATTGTTGGGGAGCATATGGTCTAGGGGCTTACTTGCAATTTGGATCTGTATCAGTTGTGGGTGTGCCTCTGTGCTAGCTGTGTACACGCCTTTTTTATTTATTTATGCATCAATCATTACTTAATTGTTTGTGCTTTACTTTTTTTTTTTACTTTCCTTTACATTTCCTTCTATTTTTTATACTAGTTTTTAGTAATAATTAGTATAAGATTAACCTCGAAGAGTGAATTGAATACGACTGGTAATTTATTTTAATTGAATTTCAGATGTAAGTATGAATAACTTTGTTTACATCAACGTGTTGCAGCTTAGGATCGGAAGAACAATGTTTATATATAGTGGTCTCCTTTCGGAAAACCATTTTCCTATTTCCTACCTATTTCCTCTTAAAATGACTTGGTTAAGATTCTTTTATGGCGCTTTCCTTCCTCCACAAATATATCTCAAATCTATACACACATGTTGCAAAATGCTTACTATTACTCACGACAATTAGGCGAGAATTGAGATTTTCATGGAGTTGTCCAAATTAAAGCTAAAGTTTGCTTTGGGTATAGCAATAGTGAATGCTCAGAGACACACCCACAAGTTTGCGGCCATTACCTTCTCCTTTCCTTATCTCGTTCTGACCGTACCGTACCGCGTTAAGCGAATAGGGGACATTGCCTGAGTGATTGGTCGCATTAAAAAAAAAATTTATTCTTACTGATTTTAAATTTTCTTTTGGGTGTAAAAACCACGCATGCATACGCCTGCTTAAAAGTCCAAAGACAAATCCATATACACTACAGTTGAAGACGTTTTCCATTATTACACCAACTAAGTTTGATTGTTTCTTTTTAAACGATTTAGTCAGTAATTTATTTGAAAAATTTTTTTTTTTGTTTTATATGAGAGAGACTTGTTGTCGCAACATTTTGTAAAATGTTTTTTTGTTTTTTTTGTTTTTTTGTGATTTTATCTATCGGATGCTAAAGTACTTGAATTTTGTTAATATATCAATTAATAAAATTTTTTGTACATATTTTTTTTATTTTTCTCTTAAACATTTATAACAAGTAAATGAATTTTTGAATTTTTATTTTAGAAGTCATATTACATTCATTGGAGTATATCTTTGTTTGTAACAATATTTTCTTATTTATTTATTCATTTTGTTTTCTTTTCTTTTAAACATTTATAAAACTTTGTATAACATGGGTTATATAGAAATCTGTGATATATAAAATGTTTTATAGTTATTTGTAAAAACGTGTTTACTATTACTGTTTATTTATTTATTTATTTTTTTTTTGTTTTTTTTATCAAAATATAAATTAAATGCCTACTCTGCCAAGTTCATATAGTGTGTTTTATTGATTCTTTGTTTTGTTTTGCTGCATTTTTTCCTTTCCAACTAAATTAAAATGAAATGTCTGGAGTATTTCTGCTTTACATATATTTTTTTTTTTTGTTTTTTTTTTTTTTAAATTTTAGTGTTACACATCACAGCCAATTTGATACTGACACGATGGGTTAAATTCTGCAATGTATTATTTTATTATTATGTTTATTGTTATTCTTTCGCTTTATTATCATTTTTATTGAAACAATTTAACTAACACTACGCACTAATGCTGGTTTATTGTTTTAATTTTCATGGAGATATGAAACGTTTTGATGCATAACGTAAAAACGACGACTAACAGTTTGTAGGCCTTTGTTATCCATCTGGGAAATTACCGGGTCCCAGCTGAAGTTTATCTCACTTGGGCTCACTCATTGTTTGGCCCACCACAATAATGATGACAATGAAAACGGCCAACAACACCAGAATACAACAAATAGCAACGGCAACCATGGCGCTATTACTCATAAAACACTTGTCGATTAACGATAAAATAATTAAATTTTTATTATGTTGTAATTCTATGATTAAATTCGACTTGCTCACAAGACTTAAGACACTGATAATATGTTTTCGACTATTTTCCTCTTTTCCTTGTTGCTGAGCTTTGTATTTCAATTTGTAGTACTTGTAGACTTTGATAATCACGCTTTATTGTTCGCTGGAGATGACTTTAAAATTTTCTCTTTTTTGTAAATTTTTTATTTTCGAATGTTTTTTTCTAAACTTATTTTTCACCTGAAAGTTTTTAGCTTTTACTTTTTCTTTTCCTTCTCTCTTATACAATTTGTTAATGTTTAGATTTACGTTTTTGCATTACAATGTACAATATCTAAAGAAGAATATGAAAGAAATTGTTTTTTTAATCGCAAGTTTTTTCCTTTTAGTGGATGTTTTTATAAAATGTTGATTTTCGTTTTTCAGTTGTGAACTTGTTAAATTTATGATAAAAGTTTAAGAAAAAAAAATTGCTTGATTTTAGAGATTAGAAGGGGATGCGGGTTTGGCTGGAAACTATCCGGCCTGAGTAAGAGAGAAATATTTTATTTTGCAAAATTCGAGTTTTTTCCATCTACCTAATCTTCTTCAAGAATAACCCCGCCAGTACAACGGTTTCCTAACATTTCAATGTCTTTCAATAAATCCTCCAAAGCAGATTAACAGATTAAAAATGGTACCATGACCTCGAGTAATATGTTTGTAAACAGAGTATTTGCCGAAGATAGAGTCAGTCGGAAAAGGAGATATGAGTCGAAAAGATAATAGCGTGAAAGTAACTAAACTGTAAATAATCCTACTCTTATTAACAAAACCACGATCTAGAGATACGAACCGTATAAAGAAAAGCAAATTTCGCAACATCATATACATTCGAACGTCGTTAATAACACCTTGTACCAATCCAGTTTCATTTTGTAAACGATTTGCAAACTATCTTGATCTTTGACGGCCCGAGCCATCTGCAGCAGTAGTTATTTTATTATTTACTATTTTCCTCTATTACTATTGTCTTCAATGTATTCCTCTTTTTGTTTTTTTTTTGTAATTTTTTAAAGCATCTAAAACTGTACGCTATTTTGCAATGTAAAACATGATCAAACATGTTTCCATATAACGAAAGGCACTTTGCATGTAATTCATGATTTGAATAGTACTTACACGTAATGAAGACAAACCGTAATGAAAAATGTTATCGTAATTATTTTACGAGTACATTTTTACAATATCCGAAATAAAGCCGGAAGAAAAAAATGCGGTCGGCATTTTATTACAATGCAAAAAAATCTCCATTGCTGACAAATACAAAAAGTCAGACAAAAAGGTAGTTTAAGCTTCCATGAGCAAAATTTGTTAAAGATTCCCTCTATATTAATAGCAATTTTATTTAATTTTTTTATACATTTTTTGGAAAACATAAGGAATTTCTTCAGTGAACTAAGAGATGTAAATTAAGAGAATATAATGAAATCAGTATAAGTAAAAACAGCGTTGCCCAAGATATTAAACCTTTTTATGTGATGTATATGCCTGCGTCGTAGACCTCACTAAATAATTTTGCAAGTCAAAAGCCGCTGATGCTTACTCACACAACTGAATTATTAACAACGAGCAGAACAATACTAAAATTTTCCTTTTGTTTACTTAAGTTTTCATTTTAAACTGATATAAGCAATTAAATGAGAGTGGGCCTGAAAACCACCTCGATTCATAGTCGTCTGAGAGTAGCGGGCGCTTCATAGTCATATGAGAGTATCATCAACGATTTACTCTTTTGCTTTGTTGACCTATGTTTTTTTATTTACTCATTTTAATGACGATAATTCGCTATTATTTTAGTGCATATTTATAGGATTTAAGAATATTATCACATATGTACGTAGGTGAATAAAGCGCATAAATCAGAAAGCTGCATTCCTCTGGGATTATTTGATGAACATAAACTGAATAACAAAAAAAAACATTAATTATTTCTTATTGACGTATAAGAAGGCCAATGTTCATTACGTAACAATTGCCTATATACATAGCATATTTAGCGCAATAACATATATTGTAAAATTGTGAATGCGATATAAATTTTTATACTGTGGAAGTTTTACGACTTAATGGCTTAAAACATTCCATCTTCTGTGAATTCTTTTATCACATTTCGCTTATTTTCATAACTACAATAATCTTAACCTCATTTCATGCGATAATGATAAACACATTTTTTTATGTTTATCAATTGAACTTAAACGGATTAAGTTTTTTTTTTTTCCAATTAAATCGAGCCTCATTTCGGGGATACCATTCTCGTTAGCATAATTCCTTAAGCATTAAAAAAGTAAAAAAGTAATAAATGTTATATAAGAAGCGGTAAAGACGTTATTATAGCACATTTCGTAATACCTTGGAAAGAGCAATCTATAAATACCGAACTCAAATCCTTTCTTGATCAAAGGCATAAGGATTTTATGGGGTGTTTCGGGTACGTATTTTTGTTCCAAGGTAATTATATTCCTATCCAATGGCAAAGTATAGGGCAGATAACATTGACAAATTAAAGAAGGATTCGTTTAAATCTATCAATCATTTCGTGATAAAACCTATCTCATGCATATCTATATGCGTCGCATATAGAGATCATACCTATAGAAGAGTGCAAAGTCCGTAAAAATGTTTTCATTTCAGTTAACTAACTCGGATCCAGTGTTGTATTATTTTAAAATTTTTTAAATCCTTCCACACTGAGCTGGTCAAGGTTAATTAACAATTAAGACAATCGGCACGAAGATATTTTACATGGAATGCTGTTTGTATTAAAGCACTCCATACTCCCTTCGGATACGATCTTGATATGCATTAAAAATGATTCGATAAAATTAATTTTAAACTTTTAGAGAGAAAAAGAAAAAAAAGATTAAAAACAAAATTAATTTACTTTCAGTTACAAACACAAGCAAAAATGCTTTTCGTTTTCTTTTGATAAGACATAGAAGTAAATCATAGTATGTATGAATGGATGTGTGTATGTATGTGACAAGAAAACTCAAATGTAACTAAAAATCAAAATTTGTAATTCTTCGAAAGTGCATGGTTTCTATAGTGAAATCACTAGCGCAAACAAACAACCAAGAAGAAGATGTATGTCACATATAGTGAACATTAGAAACGATTTAGCCATAGAATACGAAAGCATAGAGAAAAGAAAAATACAAAAATTTAAAACGTATCAGAATGAGAGAGATGAATGTTGATGGAATGAATGTGAATGGAAAGCGATGCGTTTAACAAAACGTAGATAAGAATGAAATCTGCATACGATTCCTCAAACTACTGATATATGTGTATATATGTGAGCTTATGCTCTTCTTCACACATATCAGTATCACTAAAATGCCACAATTGCGAACAAAACACGAAAGCATAACATGTAAGTGTATAACGTCTGTCGGTTGGTCCTTGATGAATATAGCATTGTTCCGGCTTAATGGTGGTAGAATTTTGTACAAGCCACCTTATCGTATGTGTGATGAAAGGCTTTTTGACAATAACTCAAATCATAACCACAAGATATGCTTCAACATAGACATTTTTACTTACATTTATATGCATACGGACACAGATGCACCTATCTCCTGATTTAGTTTTAAAAGAGTGCATAAATTGAAGAGGAGTCACAAAACTCTTACGATACATCTTTTAAGCTCTTTAAAATAGTTTAAGAAACAAGAGAAGTAGGGGCGAATGTGTTTGTAATAAGAGTAGAACCTAAACCAGAATGCAATGCGAGAACGTACATTATTTTGATGCGAAAACTAAGGTTTGTGTGGTTGTCAGGCAGCTCGCCTCTAGCGAATAGCTTCGACAGCGAAGGACGCGTAACGCTCAAATGTAGTGCTCCTTGTTAACCGCTCGCCGAAAGCACCACGCCATGATAATCGAAGTAAACTTAAACCTGTTCTCTGAGCAACATCACAGAGGCATCAAAAGTCAGGAGTTTTCGTTTTTTTGTTTGATTTGCGGGACTTACAACTCTCTTTAATAAGAGACCTAATAATGGGGCACTATGACCCTTAACTTTACTACTTTTTGATTAGAGTAGCGTGTGCAAAGCGTCCACCTTCTGTTCCACTTTTAGGGATGCCTGATATGGATGGCTGATGGACGTGTCTTAAAGGGATCAAAGAATTGTCTATTTAATGAGCTCTCTAAAGCGTACTGCTAAGAATTAGAAGCGGAAACGCTAAACCTAGTAAGTCTATCTCTTTTGGTGGAAGTTGGTTGAAATTGCTTTCCGATTGGTTTTAGCAAATAAAATTCAACAACGTAATGTTGTTCTTACAATATTTTTACGTTACGGTTGTTTAATGTTTTCTTTTTTTCAATCCGTGTAACAAGGTTTCTGCTTTAAGAGAAACAAGTGAACTGTCACAACCAGCTTTTAGGTTCGTTAGAATTGATATCCTTAGTCATTACTCGGCTCGTAAGATTCTTGTAACAATTTACAAGAGAAGCCTTATAAGATAAGAGGCTTGAAGTCCCACGTTAGTATCTCGGCGTTCTCCATTTACACTTCCGTAGCCCAAGAGGTAAACGCGTGCACAACAGGATATGTCTCGAACAAGAAAAGAGTTCGTCTTCGTCTTGAGAAAGTCAAAGTTTACCAGTTTTGCAGAGGACAATAATAAATAGCTCCAGATCGGACAATTTTTGAAAACATTACAAAAGTAAAATGAAACATTTTTGTAAGATGCATGCAAATTGAGAGTTAGGTGTGCACATCTAAACCACTGAATTTGTTGTTATGCATGTTTGCGTCATTGTCAAATGAGTTGACACATCTAGCATTGCGGCTCTTTATGTTAAATGCAGTTAAGCGTAAATTTTCACAAGTCCTAAAGTTTTGTAAATTGTGTATATGTGTGAGTGTGTGGGTGTATTCATTGTAGGCAGATTCGAGCATTTGATTTCTTGATTTTTGGCAAATAATTTTCATTCACATAGGCAAAAATATATTACGTTGCGGTTATGGCAACTGCAACGATGCCAACTGTTTATATGCAAAAGTTAATGTATGTTATCAACAAGCTTCCCTAATCATGTTACATTTCATTTACACACACACACACACACAAACACACAGAGACAATATTCTGCAAAATATAATAATACATGCGTTAGCATCATCTAAGTACGATAATGAATTTGAAATGATTTATTAACGAACATTTTTCCAAGCAATGGATTGTTCGTTTGCGAAATTGCATTGTACACATGTGAATTTGAAACCACATAATTAACATGACTAAAATACAAGCTATAATCATCTCTTTATATTGGTAAATA